TCCCGGCCGGTCCCGTGCGGGGGTCGGGGCTGAACCGGGGTGCTCACGGAGGGGCAGCGCCCCCTGGTGGCGGCGGGCGGATCCCGGTGCGCTCCCCGGGCCGGTGCCGCCCGTGACCGGGGCGAGCCCCGAAGGTGACGGGGCCGTGCCGCGCATCCCGCTGAGCCCGGAGCCGCTTACCGGGATTACCCGGCCAGGAACTCTGGTGTCCCCGGTATTAGCTTGTCCCACGTCCCCCGGTGTCAGCGCCACCGGGGGTGGCTTCATGCCTTCACGGTGTCACGGCTCCGGGAGCAGAGGGGCAGCGCGGGGACCGCAATGTCAGGATTTCAGGACCCCTCCACTCCCAGCCGTGGCCTGAAGAATCCATTCCCTGCCTCGGTTTCCCTCCCTGCTGTTCTAATCTCAGATCAGCTCCATCTCTGCTGCCCCCGCACCGCAGTGAAGGTGAGGAGGGGTCTCTGCTCCCCAGGGAGCCCCCAGCACACAGGGGACRTGAAATGGCTGCAGCGTCACCCCATTCCTCTGGTGAAAGGGGGAAACAGCCCTGGGGTGGCCCCAGGCTCTGCCAGGGCTCGAGTCCCACCGCAGCAACCCTGAAGCAAGGCTGAGGTGGGCACAGGTGAGGGGATGGCACAGGTGAGGTGGTGGCACAGATGAGGGGGTGGGCACAGTGAGGTGTGGTGCAGGTGCAGGGGTGGGCACAGGCGAGCGGGTGGCACAGGCGACGGGGTGGCACAGGTGAGTGGGTGGGCACAGGTGCTGGGATGGGCACAGGTGAGGGGATGGCACAGGTGATGTGGTGGGCACAGGTGAGGTGGTGCAGGTAAGAGGGTGGATACAGATGAGGGGGAGGCACAGGTGAGCGGGTGGGCACAGGTGAGGGGGTGGCACAGGTCAGGTTGTGGTGCAGATGCGGTGGTGGGCACAGGTGAGCGGGTGGCACAGGTGCAGGGGTGGGCACAGGTGAGTGTGTGAGCACAGGTGAGGGGGTGGTGCAGGTGCAGGGGTGGGCACATATGAGGGGATGGCACAGGTGAGGGGGTGATGCAGGTGAGGGGATGGTGCAGGTGCAGGGGTGGGCACAGATGAGGTGATGGCACAGGTGAGGTGGTGGCACAGGTGAGGGGTGGGCACAGGTGAGAGGGTGGCACAGGTGAGGGTGTGTCACAGGTGACGGGGTGGCACAGGTGAGGGTGTG